CAGTTACATCTGTTGGAGAAGAGTCAGTCTGATTGTGGAAATGTGGCTTGCATGCAGCATCTGCAAGGGGTAGAACAGACTTACTCTTCCAAGTGCTGTTTCTGGATTAGCCACATATGCAAACCCACACCACCACAATCATCCTGCCACTGCATTCCTCTTATCTGGGACCAAATTGACATGGCAAGGAAATCTCACCATGGAAGCAGCACACCATTGCATTTGGCCCTTCAAAATTAAGCAGCAGCCTTAGCAAACCCAACGAGGAGCATAGGAAAGCTGGGCTGTACTGAGTGTTGCTGAGAAGAGGATGCTGCTGGAAAGAAGAGGGGTGCTGCTGGAAAAATGCACAACTGTGTTCTTGTTTTGTAGATCGATGTTGTCTGGCATGTGGAAATAAATCGTACCAACAAACCCCAGAAAATGCTCCTGTTCATCATGGCTTATGTTGAATTTTTAGTGAGTGGGATATAGTAAGTAACACAACTCCTTCTGGTGAGTGTGAAATAGCAACGCTTGGAGGAAAAAATGTCTCCAGTGGCTTAGGGTCTGGTTGTAAATGGAAATGCACTTATTGAACTTTGAGGGTGGGACTGACATTTCAGACTGAGCACCGTGTTTGCTTTCATTTCTGACAGCCCTTGAGGTCTGCATCAAACCTGTCTGGTCACGTGAGCTGAGGCTGTTCCTGGTGACAGCCCTCCTGGTTTGCAGTGCAGAGATGCAGTATGGCAAGTGCTGGGAAGTGGCCTACAGGGCATGTTTTCGGTCCCAGCTCTGCCCCAAAAGTCCCTTTGTTCAGACACTCAGCTGCAGCGCGGGCGGTTGCTTGCCACATGATGCAAAAGGGAACAGAGATTTCTTTGTTGTCCGGGGCCGACTGCCCTGCCGGCAGAAATTGAACCGAAATCAGCAGTTTCCATCCCTTTCCCTTTCCAGATCGGGCTACCATTCTGCTCGTGTACTCAGCCATGAATTTACTGGTGCCGTGCATGTGTTTGTCATCCTGGTGGTAAAAGAGAAACCTTTCATTTCTTCTTAATAACGTTGTCTAAGGTTCAAACCTGTAATTTCAGAGGGCATATCTGCTTGAATCGCCGCTTGCATGAACTCTTGTTATGTGTGGCAAAGTTACCGAGCACAGGAATCAGGCATCTTACTGAGCTGTGGCTACTCAGGATCGCTCTGCTTTGAGCTGAGGGCAGAAGTTTCTGCTAAAAGCTGCTCCATGCCAAGAAAATTACCCGGAATTGCTGACTAGTGTCAGCGGCATGTGGGGCTGGACTGATGCTGCTGACATTTTAACACTACGCCCTGGCTAGCAGAAAGCACACTCAGCACTGTTTCGGGAAATAGTTGCTGGAGCTGGCGTGGAGCAGGGCACAGAGCCTCTTTTGCAGTGGGATGGGGTTGGAGGTAGCCTCTGTTGCACTGCCTTCCATCAGGCTGGCTTCACACACGTGTTGCTGAGCTCAGCGACTGGCTGCCGTCAGCAACAGGTATTGCTTTACCTTGCATAGCCGAAGCCAAAAAAACAGGATCATTGTGACAGCAGGAGTGAATTATAAAAAAAAGGCAAAAGGAAATGAAAAATCAATAAAAATCACCTTTTTTTGCGTTTTCAGGGAGGTGTGCTGAGAATCAGGGATGAAGGCTCAAGTATGTTGCTTAAAATACTTCAGAATATTGTATCTGTAAAAAAGCAAAGACTTATTTACAGAGTAATTCCACTTGCTACTGAGATTTAATAGGCTTCCAAATAAGATTTAGCAAATACATGCAAGAACATAAACTAGATACAGATGTGCCATAATGCCATTTTTCACTTGTCAGCCTTGGCACAGGACATGGATGAATATTTATAGCATGGCTGGTTACTACATAGTTGAGTAATTTATCACATTATAGTTTTTACAGACAAGATTGTCAATTTATTTTAAAAGCCCTTTCATTCTGTGACTTTATTTTCCATGTTTTAGGGGCCTACATTTTTAAAGAAGTGGGCAGAAGAGTTAATCAGGGGATGAAATGGAGTACGTACTTAAAGGAAGGAGGAAAGATAATGGGACTGGTATAGGTCGAGAGGTGGAGGAAGGTTTCAGTACAGATGTGGGAGCCTGGGCAGCTCTTGCAGGACCTGGCCAGTCTGTCATCTGTCCCACTGGGGAACCCACAGGGGCACTGCCTACATTCTGAAGCTTAATGGGGTGGACAGGAGAGAGCAGAGGCAATTTCTGCCCTCCATGGGGTTTGCGTTACCGTATTTCATAGCGGCTTACGCCTGCCAGCATCTTTACTGGGCACTGTGTCTGCACTCAGCTGCTGTGCCTTCTGCCTCCTGCTTCTTCTTGCTGCTCATCCATAGTCAGTGTCACCCGGCTGCTTTGTGGAAAAGAGGAAATAGGAACACGCTGGTGAATTTTTCTGGAGCAGCCACTCATTGGCACAGAGAAGGGGAAAACACAGCACTTGCAGTGCAATAACTGCATTGGCTCTGTGGAAAGCTTGGTGGGTGTCGTGGAAAATTGGCAGGTTTTCTGGTCTCAAAACTTTCTGCTCAGCATTGCTGTAGTCAAGAGGGAATTTTGAGTTCTTAGCTTTTGTGTCAGATCACTGCACAAAAACTCAGGCTGCTGCTGAATGTGTGCATTCCTGGGAGAGCACATCCATTTGAAAAGGGAAATTTTCTTATCTTTGCCTTGACTTTTTTTTTTAATCTTTCTTTAATGCCTGCATGATTTATCTTTTGCTTTCTTAAAATGTTTCTTTCAATAAATGAGATAAACCTGCTCAGTTCAAAAAGAATTAGCGAGTTTTGCTCACTTGGTGCCAGTCTGTGTACTGGGATGGGCCTGCAGCCAAGCTAGTGTTTCAGTTAGGGTTGGATTTGGACAAAACAAAGTAACTAATTATTCTCTGCAGTCTTCTGTCCAGGTTTGTGTCAGTGTGGACTCTGGCTCTGAGTGCAGTGGGGCTTGGCGCAGCACTAGGACAGCTTTCAGCATGCTTGTTGAATGCACACAGGCAGCTGCAGCACAGAGAGCCAAGTCTGCTCAGGAAAAACCTGGGAAAATCAAGTACCTGCTATTCAGCAGCCATGTGTATGCTACTGCAAAAGACTCCTGAGTGTTTTTATCCCTGGAGTGTGAAAACTGATGGCCGCGGCTATCGGATGCAGGAAGAAATTTACTCACCCTGGGAGTGCCAGCGTGGTGCTGCCAGAGTTGGGAGTTACTTTTCAGCACTGTTGTAAGCATGTTGGGTTTCTTCCTAACTTTCTCCAGACCTTTCCAATTAATCTGGAACTTGTGGTGCCCCAAAAGAAGCCACGTTTTATTAACCCCAGCATAACTAAGGATCTCCAGCAAGATGATGCTGTCCCTCCTCTTGGGCCAGTAGGAGCAAGATGTGACCAACAGTCCCTTGCTCCAGGGAATTTTAAGAGTCAGGGTGAATGAGACTGAGCAGCAGTGGAAAGAGAGACCTGGAGGTGAAGTCACATCAGAGTCATTGTGGACCAGAGACAGAAACACATCACCTATTTTTCCTTCACACTGCCCCTTTTGGGTAGATTTGTGTTTATTTGCTTGAACACAAATTAAAGTTTCTAATTTAGATGTAGTTAAAGAGTGATGCTACTCTAAAAATGATCTATAGCAATCACAGGGTGATGCTGAAGTGAGTAAGCTGACTTGATGTGTCATTTTCCTCCGTAATCAACTTTGTCTCTCGGGCCTCCATTAGTGGTTTTGGGTGGACTTGCTGCATTTCTCCTTGCAAGATGGAAGGAACAGATCCTTCTAGCGTAGGGGGCATGAAACTCCATTGTCACTTCTTACTCTGTTATCAAAATAGTTTTACATGGAAATGTGAGATTTGAGAAGTCCTAGGTGAACACATAACAACCTTTGTCAATCTGCAGTGCTAAAGTCTTCTCCCTGCAATCCCTCTCCACCACCCCCCCCCACTGTGCATCCGCCCCATTTGTGCTATTTCCAGCCCCTTTGGGTAGGCCTGGAGGGTCCCAGAGGCTTCCTCATGAGGTGGAAATCCTCATCCTGTGCTCTCTGCCCAGCTTGGGTTTGGGGTTGGAGCCCCACATCCAGGATGGGTGCTAGTGGAAAGGTGCTTGGCTGTGCCAGCAAGAAACTGAGCTGAGTGTGGTCATCTCCCCCCTCTGGAGCTCTAGAGCTGACCCTGGTCTTTAGGTAACAGTGGTGACAGGGAAGCCTGAGTACGAGGAACAGCTTGAGCTTGCACTTGGGACAGTTTATAGCCAGAAGTTGATTGTATGTGCTGTCCTTGGCTCTCCCTCACCCCATTGGCCGCCTGAGAGTCAGCCCTGCTCGGCTGCTCGGCATCCTCTCCTTAAAACTCACGTTTTTCTTGCCTTGTCCTGCAAGAGGTGAGAGGAATGTCTGCAGACAGGTGGTTTGTAGATAGCACCTGTGTGACTGATAGAGGGAAGAGAGGTAGGTGTCTTGTAGTCCAGCTCTGTTTCAGTGGGAAATCTTTAGGGCCTTCAGCAGACACTACTGGGGGAGCTAAGTGAAGAGGTGTGTTTTCCTCACATCAGTTGCAACCATCAAGCTTATCTTATACAATAAGTAGCAGAAACTATTGGTCTGTGAACAGCTCTGAGCACCACTTACTAATACCCGGGCTTTTGTGAGGGTCCTTGAACGGGGTTAGATGTATATAAAGGTTGTAGGGAGAAGAAAGGAGATTCCACTGTAGCCAGACAGAGCTGTTCTTGCACAGTGTATTTTTTTGCAAGAGTCTTACACGCTGGAGGTTTGATGACCGTCGTGACCACTGTTAACAGCGTCTCTCAGGGCAGGTGCTGCTGGTGTCACCTGTGCCTTGTGGCTTCAATGAACCACATGGTCCTAAGCTGTCAAGCCACCATGATGAACTACATGTGTTGTCACCCAACCAGTGATCCCAGACACCCCCTTGGGTCCCACTTCTGACCTCTGTCTCCCTGTTCTATCTTCCAGGCACCTGTGTGAAGTGCAGCAAGGGAGTGTATGGAGCAAACCAGGCTTGCCAGGCCATGGGCAACCTCTACCATGACAGCTGCTTCACCTGTGGAGCCTGCAGTGAGTACCCCTGCTTGGCCTGCCACGGGGCCAGGCCCTGGAGCTAACTCTTTGGGCTTAACATTTTTCTGGTGTAAAGAGGGGGTGAAAAAGAAGGTACTAATTGAATTATCTGCCACATGGAGTCTGCCACAGCTGTATGTTTTGGTGGTGGTGGTGGTTGCTGTTTGGTTTTGAATGGTTTGTTGCGAGGCATGTAGAAAAGATATTTTGGATTGTGCCAGGCTTCTGCCTTCTGGTATGGGGGATGGTTGTTTTCATTCCTCTGCCTCTCAGTTATAGCCACATTTTTTTTTTACATATGTGAGTATTTTTTCAAAGGGGCAGTGAATATGCCTTAGCTGGCACGTGGAGGGTTTTGTCTCATCAGACTTTACAGCCATTCTGGCCTTTCAGTCTGAGGACCCCAGGGAAGGCCAGTGGAACTGGTTATTGTGCAGAGTTATCAGGCTGGGAGCAGCGATGATGGGCCCTGTGAAATCTGCCAAGAAACAAAGTAAATAGTTCAGGTGGCCCTGCTGACCTCCCTGGTGCTTGTCAGACCCCCACCTGAAGCTTGCTGGAGCGTACAGCATGCTGCAATGTGTGTATCCTCCTAAGCAGCTTTTCAATGAGGTCTGTAATGGAACTGGGGTGAGGAGCAGGCCACCTGCTTTTAAATTGTGGCTGTGTTTGTAAGACAGTGTTTTTTCCATTTTATTATGTTTAACTCCAGCGCTAGTAGCGTATTTTTAGAAATGTAGCTGTGTATGTGGTGGCAGAAAAAAAAATAATCTTCTGCTGCTTTTGTATATATGAGTTTGGTTTTCCCAGATGAGGCTTAGGGTTTTTCTTCTGGGTTGTATTTAGAGTTGTAAACTCATCAGGACTGCATGTGTTTTATTTGGAGCTGTAAAGTGGGAATAAATATAGAAAGATGTGTATGCTTTTTAATAATAGCTGAACCTTGAACTGTGCTCATTTCCCAGCTGTCCAACACCAGCTGCCCTGCCTCACCTATGTTTTCGGTATAGCACTTCACCATCATCTAACCGAAAATTGAAAAGAAAAAGTGGTCTTTGCATGTAATGGCAGTTTCCTAAAGGCTCAGAAGGCAGCATCTCACTCTTCTGTCTTCTCTTATAAGTTAATTCAAAATTAATTCGTTAATCTCCTCCCCTGGAGAGGATTCCTGGCTGCAACCAGGACTTTCCTTCAGGGACCTCTCGCCCTCTATGGCCGGGCGAGGCTTCTGAACGCTTCTGAACTGCCCTTGTACCCAAAGCTCTTGTTAAAAATAATCCAGCAGCAGGTTCGAGCTGTCTTAAATTTCTAACATTACTACTGTGCAACTGGTGCTTTAGAAAGAAACACTTTCGATCCTCTCTCTAGAATGAATTTTACAACCTTTATTTGGAGACCAGTGTTACAAAGGTACTTGTGGATCGCAGAGGTATCCATGGTTACTTCTGTTTATGTTTGTCTGTATTTGGTTAAAAATTAGCTTAGTCCCATTTCTATTGAGGTAGGTTGAAAGAACAACTACTTGCTGCTTATTCTAAAAGTCAACCCTTTCCAAAAGGTTTCCAGTGCAAGACAAAAAGGTGTAGATGTCAGGTGAGATTTAGAAAGGTGGAAAGAAGCTAAGGTAAGGTTAGCAAAGTGAAGCCCATTTTCTCTCTTACCCGGGCTGTAACTGAGAAATGTGCTGAGTAGATGTGTTGGGGCAAATGGTTTCAAATGAAAAGTAAAATTAAAAAATAAAGCTAGGGAAGATGGTAGGGAGGGGAAAAAAAGATCGGGGAACCTGGAGCTGAGTAGAAAATACTGTATTCCAATACAAAATAAAAAAGGGAGTCATGGGAGGATAAACAAGAACCTAATTTAACTTGTTATGTGCAGGAGAGTAACCAGTCATGAAAGCTCAAGTCTATCCCATTGTGGCAGTGTCTGTACCAAGATGGAAACTGGAAGCAGCGGCAGCCAGCCAGGGTGACATGGATGGATGGAGGGGAGGGTGTGTGGTGGTGTGGGATTCCCAGCACTCTCAAGAAGAGTGTCACTGGAGGGAGGCCCCCACAGGAGTGGTGTTTCCCTCATGTGCACACACCTCGATGGGCGGCAAGGCTTGCAAGAAACCATCCAGAGCGGGGGGAGTTTCCTGCACTGCCCCCATGCTCTGCATGGCCTTCATGCACCGGTCGCTTGCTCTGGGGCTTTGCTGCCTGGCTTGTTCTGATTCATCAAGCCTCTTTGAGTTGTGGCTGCTTGACTCACGATGCCTGGGCTGGTACATGCCGTCCTGCCCTGCGCTCAGGGAGGAAATGTACCCGAGGGGAATCCCCCCTTTTGCAGACTGAAGTAATTTCCCAGTCCCACAGACCATCAGCTGCTGTGGGGACAAAGGGTATGCAGCTCTGTCATTCACCCAGGGAGAACACATGCCTCTCTGCAGGTTTTCTGTCATCTGTGTCGCTGCAGTAAATGTGGTAAGACCATTTTATCTGCCAGAAAAATAAATATTTGTTTGGACAGTGTTGCCTGTCTAGCGGAAACTCTGGTTTCTAGCTAAAAAGTAAGTAGTGCTTTTAAGGTCAAGTGGAGTTCATCTTGGACACCATCCAGGACAAACTTGACTTTGAGAAGTCAAAGTTGCTCATGATTTCAGTCCTAAAATTTCTGCTCCGATGGAACACTGACTATCCTCTACTCCAATAAATATACAAAATTACCTATTAAGGTAAAGCGTATTGTCCTCCAGATATTTATAACCACTGTCCTGCTGTTTTCATTCTAGGGAGGATTTCTAATTTTGCTTGTAGTTGGATTTGTGTCCAAATGTGTATTTGTTTCCCTGACAGAGAAAACCGAGAGGGTCTAAGAAGCAAGGGGTTGGGGGGGAGTGATACCTCATAGTGCCAAATTTCCTCTGCCTTCTGCTTCCCAATACACGTATGTTCAGAGATAAATGATAGAGCAGTTTGTTGAACAGAGCTGTGCACACATTGCAGGGTTCAGTTGGCAAGAAAAAAATGTACTGTTTTATCTGAGCCAATGGCATGTAATGCAGAAAATTTGGCTTAGAGGTCAAAACAACAGATTTAGAATTATTACTTTGGCATAAATGTCTCATTTATCTTCTTGTTTGTTACAGGGCAGAGGCACAAACAAGGCAGCCTTTTGCAGAGAGGGAGAGAAACTTCAGGCTCTTTCTGCAGGATTAGTAATAAATGATATTTGCTTTACAGAAGGGCCACAAAAATAGGTTAAAAAAAAAAGGCCCCAAAATACATACAACTACTTCCTGCAAGCTCAAGGTGTCTGTTTCCGTCTTGGGTTTGGGGTTTTTTTTTTCAACTTGTTGGACAAACACTTGTAGCTGTCAAATGCTTTGTAAGATATTAACTATTTAAGTTAAATCACTACTTTATACCTCGTCAGAACACGAAATATACAAGTGTTTCCAGATGTTATTTACTATTTAGGAGTAAGGAGACCTTATAAATTATATACATTTAACTAGAGAGTATCACTCTAACCTACTGGGGAGTTTTAGTGTTTTCTCTAGGATTCAACCAGGCTTATATCTGACAGAACTTTTTAGCTCTCCTAGCAGTGTAATTTAGAGCATAAGGGACTTGTACTTGAACAACTTAGTCCTCAGAGGAAATCAATCTGAAAGCTAAAAAAGTGCAAGGGAAGTGTCAGAGATGGCTGTGAAGGAAATCAGAAGGTGAGGAACGAAATCAGAAAGAAAGAACTGATTGCATGGTGGTTTGAAGGAAGGTTTGATGTTGAGCTACAACACAAGGGCCAAAGTGAGGACCAGATTTTGGACCCTTACTGCGGAGAGTTGGAAACCTTGCACGTTTGCCACATTACAGAATTCAACCTTTGACGTCAACATCACTGCATTACTTTCTTTTCTTTTTATTTTTTGTGAGCTGAGATTAGTGTTCATGTCTGTGTGGGGGTAACAGGCTGCTGTTCCAGTGACAGAGCTTGAAATAACTGTCTGCCTTTTACCACCCTCTGGGTATATATATTTTTTATTTAGTATTTCACAACATAGTTGTGTTTAGAAGTATCAAGGGTCATTTACTAAACTAAGCTATTGAAGCAGTGTTCTCTGGACTAATTAGTTTTACTGCAGTGATTATAAAGCATGACTACTTAGAGCAGTGCAGCTCTTGGTGCCTTTGGGCTAATTATTTTGAATAAGCATGTCCTGAATTGGTATGTAACTCTGGGAACAACAAAGCCCTGGTTTTTATTGGCACTTCTAAGTAACTCTACAAGTAGAAAGTCACCTTTTTCTGCACGTGTGATTTAATCCCAGACAGCAGGATAGCCAGCCTTGCCAAGTGAATTTCCCTGCAGCACATGTATGTGCATGGTTATCTTCAGATGCAAAAACCGCCATCTCTTCTAGTGGAGGCAGAATTTACTGCCTTCAATTGGATATAAACCCACTACGCCAATTGACATGCTTGAGAAACGTGCAGATCTTCAAAGTGGAGAGTGCAAGGATTGCCAATAATTCATCCTCAACATCCCTTCAATAAAATTATCATGCCAGAGTCTGCATAGTAAACGCTTTTTTTTTTTTTTTTAGCAAAACTACTGTCTACTGTCAGGAAGGATTAAGATGTGCCTGGATGTACAGTTCGGAAGACAGAGAATTCATCAGTGCATGTTTCTGCTCTGGCCTAAATTGCTGCTATGCTCTTGCTGACTTTTTATCTTCAATCTCTCAGCTTGCCGGTGAAAAATTCTGTTGTTCATAAGAAGTGCTTGCTGTAGATGAGAAAAGCAGGGCAAGTTTTATAGAAAGGTGACAGTACTTGTTCCTTTTCTGGCCAGATTTCAAGGCAGCAGTGATTTGGGATCTGAGCTGAAGGGACTTTGCCATGGTTCAGGTGTCCTCAGTAGATATCCCTGATGGAAAGGTGCAAGTGTTCAGCTCACACAGGGGGCTGCAGTCAGGAACTTAAAAATATAGCAGTGGTTTCAGTCAATTG